ACAATTCAGAGGAAAGGTAAGTAAGAAGAGGTAGAAAAGGTAAGTAAATATATTTATTAAAAAAATAATAAAAAAAAAAGAAATAAAATCCTACCTACGCCATTTCGTGATCGCCTGCGCCATTTCGCGAGCCCAAGAGCACAATTCAGAGGAAAGATAAGTAAGAAGAGGTAGAAAAGGTAAGTAAATATATTTATTAAAAAAATAATAAAAAAAAAAAGAAATAAAAAACCTACCTACGCCATTTCGCGATCCCGAGGAAAGGTAAGTTAAGAAGAGGTAGAAAGGTAAGTTAAGGAGAGGTAAAAAGGTAAATTAAGAGGTAGAAAGATAAGTGAATTATTTTATAATAAAGAAAGAAAAAGATCGCCTGCGCCATTTCGCGATCGCACAATCCCTAAGTTTTAAAAAAAAAAAATTTTTAAAAAAAAAAAAAATTTTTAAAATTTAAAAAAAATTTTTTTAAAAAAAAATCTATAGATCTATAATTTTGGGGTTTCACAACTATTTCGTCCCCCGTCGAAATGCTAATTTCGACTGGGGTTACACTAAATTTCGTCCCCCATAATAATTTCGGAGTTACACTATTATTTCGTCCCCTGCTGAAATGCTAATTTCGACCGGGGTTACACTAAATTTCGTCCCCCATAATAATTTCGACCCCCATAAATATTTTCGTCTTTTATAATAATTTCGGGGTTAATTTTGAATTTCGGAATTCAATTTCGGGGTCATTTTAAATTAATCGGGGTCGGGTTTTGGATTTTTAATTTTGGGGGCATATATAATGTAAATAGAAGCTTTAAACCTGAAAAACATTATTACTAATTGACCTTTTGAACTAATTTTATTTTTCAAAAGGTAATTTATAACTAGCAACTCGTAAACAGTTACTTTAGTTTACGAATTGAAGGAAATAATAGAAGAAGAATAAAAAAAATATTTTATTAAATACTAAAAACTAATTAAAGGACTTAAGAATTTATTATCACAGGTTTTAAATATTAATTAATGATTAAATTTTAAAGGTTAACTTAAGGAATTAAGGTAAAGAATTAAATATATTTATCAATAGTTTATAAAATAATAACAAAATTTTATAGATCAGAATTTATATTTGAAGAATATAAATTAGTAAAAGGATAACAGAGTTTTAATATAGGGAATATAAGTTTATTATGAAGAAAATCAATAATCCAATTACTTTAGGATTATAAAAATATTAATTTAATAGAATTAATTACAGTTGAGATTTCTTTTTAAATTTCACTATTTAGAATTATTCAAATCTAATTTGAAACTATCTGAATCTTCCTTGGGGTGAAGAAAAAACTTATCCTTTTTATAATATTTAATTTAGCCAGTAAGTTGATCAGTAAGTTGATTAAAATCTTGATTAGTAATTGTATCAATTGGTTGGTTAGTAAATTGGTTAGTAACTGGGTCACTATGATCTACATTATTGATTTACATAATTCGTATTACTCTAATAAATAAATAAATACTAATTGTAGCTAATAATTAAAATATACTAAATAATTATACTAATAAAATAATACAAATGAAAAATAAAATAAAATATTAAGAAAATTATTAGAATGGAGGAAATACCATACAGTTTATTGTCATACCTACTTATTTCAGTTATTTTCTTACAATAGGAACACATGATGATGGTGTTAAATTTTTGTTATCATGACACATGATGATGGTGTTACATTTCTGTCATCACAACACATGACAATGGTGTCATATTTCTGTTATCACAATATATACCTGAAGTGAGAATAATCTAGACTAAGTGAAAATAACATAATTATGTTATTTCCACTGCTTCTTTTGGAACAGTGGCACATATCAAAAGATATGTGCAATACCTTAATTACAATATTTTTGAAATACAGAATCTTTAATCTTGCAGCAACTTTTGGAAAATATTTTTTAAACAAATTTGACATGTTGCTAATTATTGAGCAATATGTTGTGTTCTGATAATTTGGATTGCAGTTGGGATTGCATTGTATCAATATGTAAAAGAGAAAGAAAAACAATGAATGATTCTCTTTAGCATATACATCTTATCAAGCAGACAAGCTAGTTTGATATGCTAAAATCCCTTCACAATAAAGAACTCACCCTGTAATATTTTCTTAAAAATCTTCAATAAATAATTTAAGTTGAGTTGATCTTAGTGATCCTTGTGAAATTGTAATAAATTATTTAAGTAGTTTAAGATATTTGTTTGAGAATATTTGTTATCTTTCAGACCCTTGTCCATAAGTAGATGTGACAACAGATATAATGAATAAAAAATTAATAAAAATTACCAGCGTACAACGTAGTCGTACCACTAACCATATATAAAATTTTTTTTTAAAACGGAATAGTCTCATTAACACTAACACAAAAACTTCAACCAGGTTTCACAAAGACTCCAAAATCCAATATACTTTAATAAAAACCAAGCTTGTGTTAAAAACTATCAAATTTCGTCTATGAAGATTAAATTTTATTTTTAATACGCGACACGTGTCGTGACAAGAAAATCGTGTGATCAAATTTTCTAGTCCTCCAAACAATAAATTAAATGCATTAATTTATAAAAATTTTGTTTACAGTTTATAATAAGTAATAATATATTCTTCCAAGAAAACCAATTTTTATTCATTTGATCCGTTTATTGGTTCTAATGATAATTAGCATTTTGAAAAGATATTTAAGTTTTAAGCTTCACAGTTGAGTTGACGGATAAAGTTTTCACAAGATTACTTTGAAAAATGTCAATTATAACGTAAATCATCCAATATCAATAGAAATTTCGTTATACAAATTTCGCGTATTAAACAATACGTGAGATCAGTAGAAATTACGTTTCGCGCATTTAATAGCATTTAATACTAATAATATCAGATATCTCTTCGTTTTGAATTTGATTTGTTATATTTCAAAAAAAAAAAAAAAGGAATTCTGGAATAGCTCCGCAATTTATCAGTACCGTTAATCCTTGAATGAATAAGACGATTTTTGTGTACTTAATTATCAAATATAGTATTTGCTTCGTCAATTTCCTATTTTAGACTTAAATTTGTGTTCACGAAAAAATTTAGGAAAAAAAAACAACCTGATTCAATTTCAACCAATTATAACAAATTAATTTATCATACCACTTTTTCGGGAATCTTTTTTTAAAGAGGAGAATTTTTTTTTTTTTTGATTCAACGAACAAAACATTAACCTAGTTAATATTCAAATCCTTAATAACCTAATAAATATCCAAAAATTTCTAAATAATCTTAATGTCAGGATCTAAAGAAACTTTTGAGACACATCCTCTTTCAACAATGCAATCTACGGACCTTCAAGATTTGCTAATGTGCGAATCATATTTTGATGATTTCTCTACTACAGATGCATTTAACCCTCATAATCATGCAACCACACAACCCCCTACTGTAACTATGTCCGAATTTGAGTCTCAAATTCAAGCAATTTTGGCTGCTAATGCTGCTAATGCTGCTAATGCTGCTAATAATAGCGCTCCTCAACATACAAATGACTTATCATTTGATAATTTTCAATATCAAGTTCCTTCTCCAGAAACTAGTTTATTTGGTTCACCAGAAATAATGACTTCTCTTGGTGGCACCGATTCTTTAAATACTCAAAATTACACTATTTTTGATGATAATGGTTCTTTATCTAATCTTTCACCTTTATCATTTAATTCGTTACAAGACTTTACTGTTCCTCCAAATGATGCTGTAATTAATGATGTTGGCCATTTCTCTCCAATGGATGAATCTTATGATACAATAAGCCTAACTAAAACTGAATTTGATGCTTTAATGGCTCAAGTTGAAAACTCAAAAAAGGAAAGTGAATCAACTTTTCCTGAAAAATCTTTAAAAAAGAAAAGGAAAGGTATCGGAGGTATTTCTAAAACCGTAAAGAAAACAAAAGATGACTCAAGTCTTAATAATGATAATACTTCATTTAACGAAGGATTGTCAACAGTACCATCCATGGGAATAGACAACAGATCGAATCTTAGTCCTGGTATACAGAGCATTGTTGTTCCTAGTTCACCTATTATTAATACCACAGATTCGACTTTCGCATTTAATCCTGCTTCTTGGTCTAGTTCTCCAAACTTTGTCTTGGATGAAATCACGGGTAATTATTATTACTATAATTAAATATTTATAATATAATGTTCACGTGTACTCATCCGTGTGTTCATGTGCTTTCGGTATTAGGGGATAAAACAACAAAGAAACCCATACCACGTCTTAAGAATATAAATTCCAAACAACAACAACAACAACAAAATTTTCAATTTCAACCGAATAGACAACAAAAGAAAGTCGCTCATAATGCAATTGAACGTCGTTACAGAAATAATATTAATGATCGTATTAATGATCTTAAAAATGTAGTACCTGCACTTTGTCATTTGAAGAGTAAAGATAGTAAAGATGATGACGAAGATGATAAAGTTGATGGTATTTCTGCTGCCACGAAATTAAACAAAGCCACTATTTTAAGAAAAGCGACAGAATATATTATTTATTTAAAGAAAAATAATCAAAAACTTAAAAATGACAACGAATTATTGAAAAAATTAATTAAAGCGTTATCAGGTGGTATTGAATTATATAACCTTTATCATGCAGAAACCAATGGATCTGAAACTCCACCTTCAACATCTGATAATTCTGATTATTCTGATAATGGTTCTCCTTATCATCATAATCAAGAAGAATTTGAGTACATTCCACCTTCTCCACCTAATAATACAGGTTCAAGAGCATTGATGGCTCTGTTTATGTGTATGACATTCTTTTCATCTCAACCAAACACAATAAATTATGATCATCATTCTTCTCACCATCATAATGAAAATAGTCGTGTTGTTTCTAATGAAATCCCTGTTGAAATTCCTAAGAGTTCTTATAATCAAAACGATAGTACATTTACAATTGATATTTGGTAAGTTAACCGTTTTGTTTTATTTCGTTCCTATTTCATTTTTCTCAAACTGGAAATTTTCCTTCCCATTTTAATAATTTTTAATAATTTTAATAATTTTAATAGGTACTTGGCACGGATTTTCACTTTTATTATGTGCTTAACCTATATCATTCGTCCATCATTGTTTTCAAATCAATCTCGTCATGTTCGTAAATCAAAATCAATTATAGTTTCGGTTATAACTGCAAAGGGCAAAGATGCAAAGACACTTTATCAGTCATTATCACATCTTTCTTATAGTTCAATGAATACCGTGGAATTTGTTATTGGCTTTTTAACCGAATCCTTTAAGTTCTTCTCAAGAAGATTTATTGGGTGGAATATTTCTAGTAATTATATTTCCACTGATATGGAAGAGAAACTTTGGGATGTAGCATTATGGGCTAGACTCGGAGAAGTTGAATTATGTGGTGGTAAGTAATTGATATTTATATAAATTATTCTTTATTTACTTTATTAATTTAATAGAAAATTAATTTATAATAAAAATTTTACAAAATATTATTAAAAGGAAACGATAAGGCATCTCGTCTTTCTATTCTTTATACATGTTTTCGAACAATAAATCTCTTGGAAAGTCATTATACAGCACATAAAAATGCTTACATAAATCCAGCTTGTATATATGCTAATGCAGCATTACAGTGTTATATTGGGTTTAATTCAATTCCTTTTATTTCTCAGAGAATAGTGTCCCACTTTTGGAAATTGGCTAAAGAAAAGAGACAAATTAGTTCCGAAGAGAAATGGCTAGAAATCGTATTAGTCAGTGATCCCAATAATGATATGTGGAAAGGAATAGCCAATAAAATTAGTAATCACGTTATTTCTACGTCAAAAAGTGAAGAAAAGGTTGAACCTATGAACAATACTACTATTCCACTCACTCATTTTTCAGACGCTCAAGCACTTTTCCATTTAAAGAAGGCATTTTCAAATCTTGTTTCTGTAAAATATGGGAAATCTAAAAAAGTTCAAAAAACTCAGTTCACTTTTTCAGAACTTCTAGGTATTACCACACCAGCATCTCTTACACATTGGTATGCTTTGGTTGGATGCGCAGTACAAGCTTTCTCTGATCAACAAATTGTTACTGGAGAAAAGCTCGTTAATAGATTGAGAGAAGAATTTCCAAAGACAAATGACAATATCAATAAACAAATTATTGCTATGGGTCTACTCACATACGCTCTTTTAATGCATGGAAAAGTTGAAGCTTCAATACGTTGTGCTGACAAGGCCAATAATGCAGTGTCTATACGAAATAAAGAAGAAAAATCTGGAATAACTGAAAATGATGATTTAGTTGATAGAGATTTAGAAAGAGAGATGATACAAGATGTTCACGATTTGGCCGAATTTTGTGTTGGATGGATTGTTTTGGAAGCAAGAATACTAGCATGGAAAATTATTGAAGAATTTACGTCAGAAAACAATGATAAAGCAATACCTGATGTTCTAGATATCGAGTCAAGGTTAAAACCTTCGATTTATGGATGGATGCGTTACTTACGTCGATTACCAAAAGCCAATGTATTTGGTGACATCCCGAAGGCTCAAGAAAAATTTATAAGAAAACTCGATATTCTCGGAAGAGTTGCTGGTGGAACAGACGAAAGTGTAGATCCTGATTGTTTTGAGGAAAACAATATTAATGGTGATAAGGAATGTAGTGAAAAAATAAATGAGACTAAAAATAGGGCCATAAGAGCGTGGAACGTTCTGAAAGGAATGTAAATTTATCTATCATCTATTTCAATTATATCAATTATTATATCATTTTATATATATACGTGACAGAAATTCTCACGTGAGTTTTGTCCAAGTAGATCTTGAATTCTGAAATCCGAAATTTCCGTAAGAGCTTAGGTCACATATATAATTTAAATATTTCAATTTGTTAATTTTGGTAAATTATGTCATTAATCCAAGTTATTTGTGTATAGTCATTTTTGATATTTTTTTTTATTTAATTATTTACAAATGTTAATAAAAACAATTATTTTAGAAGCAATGGAAATTTCTCAATTATCAATTTTACACCTTTATTATTATGTTAATTCTATAGAAAATGAAAAAAAGTAGGAATCATAAAAAATATCATTCTCATAAAATAAAGGATGATGGATCTAGAAGTTCAATATGGCTTAAATCTTCTGGCAGCCTTAAGTCTTTCGATCTTTTTCTTATCTTCTTCAAATTTTTTACGTAATTCAACGTGCTCTAGAAGAAGAGAAAAAAAAAAAAGAAGTTAAATTCTAACTTTCAAATTATTCAGCCTTACAATGTATATGTTATTGTTATAATTACTATTTCTTTTAGATTCCCGCATTTGAAAACGATAAAAATCAGGTAGTTCTTTGTTTTTGGGCTTTAAATTTTTTATTTCTTCTGGTTTAGCTGCTGTTACAGTAATAGTACCATCAGTGTTCGCATTTCGCTTCCCCGCCCTAGTAACCGTTATGAATCCCTCTTCATCTGGTTGATTTTGTTTTTCTTCCAACTCTTTACGCTTCTCTTCTTCTATTTCTTCAAATTTACGCATGTATTCGTCAACTTCAACTTGGAGTTTATGAGGGTCAGGTCGATTGATCTGATATTCTTTAAACCATTCTATTTAGGTAAAATTCATAAATTAAAAATGTTAAAAATGTTAAAGAATAAGGTATTTATATATAAAAATAATTATATAAATTAAAAATTTACTATTTAAACCCAACGGAAAAACCTCTTGATCTTTGATATTCCATACTCTCTCCTTTTGTTTCATATTGATCACATTTTTTAATTCATCCGAATTTTGAAACACCACATAAGCAATAGCACCAGGAATCAAAAATTTTCTTGATAACTCATGTCCTTGAGAAAAACCCGATTGAAGTGCATCATCTTGCTGCAATATTTTACTATCTTCAGTTACTACTTTATTTTTTCTTTTTCTTTTCTTAGATGTATTTCCTTGTGCTTTATTTTCTTGAGAAATAGATTCATTTCTATTATTATTATTATTATCATTATCATCATCATCATATAATACAAATTCATCTTTATTGAAAGATCCACGAAAATTTATTTGTTCAATAGAACCACATTCTTTAAATAGATTTCTAATGTGGTTTTCTGTTGTATCTATAGGTAAGTTTGAAATAAAAAGAGTTCTTCCTGCAGGAAAATTTAAATTAATAGTATTATTATTATTATTATTATTTTTATTTTTACGTGATTCATGTTGTTTTATAAAAAAAGAAAGTTTTATAGGAAGTGTTAAATTTGATAAATTCTGTTGAATAGTAGGTTCAATATCAACTTCAAGGATTTTAAAACCAGTATTATAAAGTTCCTTTAGAGATTGTTCCTCCTCTTTATCCTCATTATTGGTATCCTTCTCATTATTGTTGTTGAAATCCTCCTTTTCGCTTCTCTGTTTTTTATTTTTCTTCATGATAAGATTAAAAAAGGCAATGCATGCGTTATTTAAATGAAACGAGAATTTTAACCTGTTAGATCCTTATCCTATCCCCATTTATTATCACATGATAGATATTTTTTACGAAATAATATTTTCTTTATGGTACAAGAAATTTTTGATTTGAATATTCTGATTGCGATCTTTACCATAGTTTGATTATGCAATTTTAAAGTATTAAAAAATAAAACTTAAAATAGAGTTAATAATACACACTGGTCCTGCGATATATATCTGTTCTAATATCCTTGTTATCCACAATGTGAAAAAGAATAAAAGTTAATATTTGACTTGAATTATGAAACCAAAAGCGGAAAGACATCAATTAAATAAAAAATTTTTGTAAAAATACACATGAATAAAATGTAATAACCTTTTATTTTTATTAAACAAATAATAAAATAAAATTAAAATATAACCCGTTACAAAGAATATTTTAAATCTTGGATATTTATTTATTATTACAATAAATTACTTGACTTAGAAATAACTAAACACATATAAACAAAGAAAATAAATGTAAAATCCCTTTTCCGCATGTAATTTTTAAATATTTACTCGATAATTTAAGTTACTTTCTGCCTTGGTTTTTTTTTTTTTTGAAAATAATCCTGGAAATCTTTCTTTAGTAAGACTACGAACACTTTGGCACTGGTAAATGAAAAGGAATCAAGACGAACTGGTAGCACAGAACAGAAAATACTTTGGCACTCATGAAGGCAATATATACAAGTATATATTACTCTACTTTGGCACTCATATCCTCATTGCACTAACAGTTATGGTCAAAGCCTAAGCATCACGCGGGCACTGATGTTACGCAGTGGCGGAGATCTTCTTGTATGGAGGTCTTCTTGCTTTTAGCAATTTAGCCTAAATTAAATAAACTTTATTTAATATTATCTATAAAAATAATGAAACTTAAGTTATTCCCCCGGTTTTTTATGCATCTCATAGGCACTCGGGTGTGTGTGGGTGATAGATATGGAAAAAGATATGAAAAGAGTTAGGTAACGGAGTAATAAAGGATGGAAACCAAAAAAAAAAAAATAGATAAAATAAATACCTCAATTTTCTACAATTATTATTTATTTGAGATCAATGAAATATAATCAACAAAGTTATAACTAAGGGAAAGAGGGATTATAATATTATTATTAAAAAAGTTATAAAACTTAGAGCAAAAAGAATAAAAAGCGGAAAAGGGAAAATCACTTATAATTTATCGTTAATGTTAAGAAAGAAAGTTGAAAAAAAAAAGAATGAAAAGGTGCGTTTAAATAATTAAGAAATGAGGATCCCTAGCCTAACCCAGTTTAGGATACTATCCTTAGACCTCCTGGGTAACGCATCAGATGAATCAGATGATCATAGATTTGTTTTGGAACAAAAATTACCAAAGGATACTTTACCATGGGACATAAGAAAGATTCTCAATCGATAAAAAAAAAAGGAAATAAGAAGGATGATTCATCCACCAAGAAAAAAATAGTGTTACCAGCTATAAAAACACCTCCAGTTTCCTCAAAGTCTTCTCCCCCTTTAAAAATTAAACTTCCTGCTCAACAAGCTTCAACGAATGGTTCCGAAGGTCAAAAACAGCCTGTTGGTGAAGGAAATAAGAAAAAAACCACTTTGCTGAGTAAAATTTTGGATGATGATGAGCCAGAGATTCCAATCGAAGAACAATTTATTCTCAGATTAATGGTACCTGAAGATATAAAACAAAAATTTCGAGAAAAGGTGAAGAAACGGAAATTAATCAACGAAGTTGGAATTTCATTTAAAGGTAAAAACTGTCTGTAATTTAATAAAATTATTATATGTAAATTTCTCGGATACTTATGTAATAAAAACGTCTAGATTCACGTCGAGCAATATTTACTTTTGAAAATCAAAAGTATAGTGCGCGATTAGTAGATCTACCCTGTATTATTGAAGCTCAAAAAACATTTAACAATAAACAGTTATATAAAGTTGCTGACATTTGTCAGGTAAATACTTTTATTTATAAATTATTATTAATGATTTAAATAAATATTATTATTATTATTATTATTATTTGTAATTTTTAGATGTTAATAGTAGAATCTCCCATTGAAAACCAATATGAAGAGCAACTTTTTGCTGAAAACACATCTTCAAATATAGATCAATTTGAATGGCCCGATGGATTAACGTTGCCAATGAAGAATGTCCGGAAAACAAGATTTCGGAAGCGTATTTCTAATAAGGCTGGTTGAACATATATATCTATTTTTTATTTTTTAGCTTACGTTTTGCCTTCCTGTTTCTAATATTTATATTATATAATAGAAAATCGAAGATATAGAAAAAGAAGTCGAAAAATTATTACATGATGATTCTTTGGCAGAGGAGGTGAAAATTGGTTAGTTTTAAAACCACACAGACCCTATACCATTAGAAATTTTAATATACAGAAATAGGTTTTTACTTATAAATTGCTATATAAAAGCTTGGGAAGATGCTGTTGATTCGGAAACTGCAACTCCTGCTGCACTTCTTGGGACAATGCCCGAGGATGAGGAGGAGATTGAGGAGACCGAAGTGCAAGTAGAAGACGATGATTACGATGCAGAAGAAACTGAAGTTCCTGAAGAAGACTTGATACAAGAACGTAAAAATGAAAATGAGGAATCGGCTCAGAATGATGACATAACAAAAGAATTTCAGATAGGCTTGGATATGATGGATCAACTAACAGATGGTGAAGACAGTGAAGCAGATGAATCTGAAGAAAGTTCATCCGCTTCTTCTTCAGAAGAAGAAGATAGTTCTTTTGAAGACCGTGAGTTATTTCATAATATATATAAATATTTTGATATATTTGAATTAACTATGAATTTTTTATTATTTTCATATATCATATTATATAATATAGAAGAAGAATTGACTAAAATCTTTGAAAAGCAAAGAACGTTAAAATCAGAATTATCTGAATTAGATGCTAATTTACAAAAGAAACGAAAAGATTTAGAAGTAGAAACCAATAGTATCATGCAGGTTAGTAAAATATCATTATTAAAGACTTCATAAGTTTTAAACTCACCCTAAAATTATATATATGTATTCAATGAAATTATAGGGAAGATTTCTTACAGAGATTAACACTATAACTGCGGAAATAGATCAGAAAAAGGCAGGATTAGAAGAAGCAGAACGAAGAATATACGAAATTCAAGAAAAGATGGAATCAAAAGTCAAAGCGCTCGAAGAGAAACTTGCAAATGATCAATCTCAAGGTGAAGAATCTGATAATGAAACGACATCATCAACTTCTGGTGATAATGAAATTCAAGAAAAGGATGATGAAATGGTATATGAAACGGAAGGATCCCCCATAGAAGGAAGGAATGAAGAGGATGATGACGAGGGGATGGAAGTGGATGAATCAAATGAAAACAGAGATATTGATAAAAATAATAAAAAAAAATAAATAATCTAAAAAAGATAATTTTAAATTTTCAACTATTTTATTATATTTTTCAGTGATTATAAATAATTTTCTTCATTAATTTGACTTGTGACATATAAAGAAAATACAGAAGTTGATTAATTCATTTAAATATATATATCTAATAGAATATTAGTTAATACCTTTTTTTCATTTTGATTGTAATTTTTTTTAACGTGCGCGGAATACATACATGATTTAATAGTGATTACGTGCATATTATATAGTTTTTTTTTAAGTGACGAATAAAAAAAACATCCTGCACATCATTTTAAAATTGTACGCGGAATGTGCACATGATTTAAAAAGTGAATTTCAAACATTTTTTTCTAGTGTTAAGTGAGAGGATATACTAACAATTCATTAATAAATAGGTAACAGCTTCTTTTGCACAACCAACCAACAACCTCTCATATACCACACAAGCGAGATCAGTACCAGTAGAGAATGCACACCTGGAATTCCTGCGAACCTTAGGTAACAAGCAAATTCTAGAACGGTACGTGCAGCATTCTTTTTTCCACAGAGAAATAGAAAAACTGCTGCTCAATAAAAAAAGAAATTCTTGGGATATGGGGTATTTATATCTTGTCTCAGATGATCATGATTAATATGGTAACATATCAAAATATGGCGTAAATAATTTTAGTTCTCGCCTTTATTATAAATTTTATAAAACGAAAAGGACCACATAATCGTTTTTTCCGAATTAAAAGATCTTGCCAAAAAAGGGTAAATCAAAAATTATTACCTTTTTTGTTCAAGATTCTCTTTTTGTTTGTAGATTGTCAAAATCTAAGATTATCAATCTCGATTAGATCCTGTAAGAATGCGAGATTTTTATTATAGAAGTACGTTATTTAAATTCGAATTTTTTAATTTTTGTCATTATTTATTATTTATTTTTTTTTTAAATCAATGTTTCATAAGAATATAGCAAGAGTAGATATCATAAGAAGTATTATAGCCAGAAGTAATTCCTATACTGGAAAATGGATACTCGGAAAAGAAATCCGTACTGTAAGTCTTATAAATTGTATTTTGACTTTCGTAAAATAGTTTTCATTTATTGTTGAGAGAGAGAAACATAAATGAAGTTTGCCTAGTCTTAAAAACAAAAAAAAAAAAATTAGTTACGTTCATATAGTGCTATGACACAACTTTTGACCAAAACAACAGCAAATACCGAGCAGGAAAAAGTATCTATTATTATTTTATATTTAAAAATTTTTTTCCATCGTGATCTAATGTCTATTATCTTTCTTTTTCATACGAAAAAGGTTACTCAAAAGGTTATTCAAAAGGTTACTCATGCAGATTCAGAAACAGCACCAAAGACAGCACAGTTACTTGCGAAACAAGATAAATACACTTTAAACACATATGCTCGCCCACCAATTATCTTTTCACATGGTAAAGGATGCCGAGTTTACGATTTAGCCGAACGAGAATATCTTGACTTTACTGCCGGTATAGCCGTAAATGCATTAGGTCATTCGGATCCCGAAGTCGCACATGTTATTTCGGAGCAAGCAAACAAACTTGTACATCTTAGTAATTTATATCATAACGAATATGCAGGGGAATTAGCAGAATATTTAGTTGAATCAACACGCGCAGGAGGAGGATTTGAAGCATCAAAAGTATTTTTCACAAATTCTGGTACCGAAGCAAATGAGGGAGCTTTAAAGTTTGCTAGGAAATGGGGAAAATTTTATGGTAAAAAAGGTATTAATGATGGTAGCATTAATACAGAAAAATTCGGCGTAATATCATTTTCAAATGCTTTTCATGGACGATCATTTGGGGCTTTATCTGCTACACCCACAAAAAAATATCAAAGTCCATTTACTCCCATGTTACCAGGTTTCGTTTCTGCACCTTTTAATGATCTGAATAAGATAAATGAATTTGTTAATGATAACACTTGTGCTGTCATTGTGGAACCTATTCAGGGAGAAGGTGGTGTTTGGGAAGCTAGTGTACCTTTTTTGGAATCATTAAGGAAAAGATGTGACGATGTTGGAGCTTTATTGATTTTTGATGAAATTCAGGTAAACTGGTAAAATTTAAATTATATCATTTATTTATTTACAAACAATTATAAATGATATCAAAAAATATCCTTTATTTATTTCAACTTTTAGTGTGGGCTTGGTCGTACCGGAAAGTTATGGGCACATCAACATTTTCCAAAATCTTGTCACCCCGATATTTTAACAATGGCAAAACCATTAGCAAACGGATTCCCCATCGGCTCAATTATGATTTCTAAACGTGTTGCGGATATCATTGTGATAGGTTAGTTATTTTATTCTTACATTTTAAATTTTTTTGACTTAATCAACGTTTATTTAATTAAAAAATGTTTAATTAACAGGTGATCATGGTACAACATTTGGTGGCAGTCCATTAGCATGTAAAGTAGCGCTTAATGTAACATCAAGAATTAACAAACCAGAACTATTGGAAAATGTTAATAATGTTAGTGCCTACTTATTTTCATCGTTTGAAAGAATTAGCAAAAAATTTCCTTCATTAATTAGCACGATTCGTGGTAAAGGACTTATGATTGGTATACAATTTACTCGTGATCCAAGTCCTTTGATTAAATTAGCTAGAGAACGTGGTTTGTTAATAATCACTGCTGGTAATGACACTGTTAGAATTGTGCCCCCCTTAATATTGAATAAGGAAGAAGCTAAAAAAGGCATTGAGATTTTGGCGGAATGCATAGAAATCTTTAATGAACAAAGTTAAAAAAAAATAATAGATTGAAGTTATTTATTTATTTGTATTTGTATTTGTATTTTTAATTTTAATTTAAACCTTTAGCATTTTAAATTATCATCATAATTACATTTAGCCAAAGTAAATAAATTTACAGAGAAGTTTGACTATATTTGTTTGCAAAAATATGTGATTTGATATTTCTTTTGAGTTTGAATATTATCATTATCAATTGTTATCTTTGTTGATATAAATTATATCTTAATTTAGAAAGAATCAAATTTAAGATCAACATTTTCGTTGTACAAACCCCTAATTTGGGATACGCGTCAGAATTGGATATATAAATATTATTTATACGCGACAGTCGAATTTTACAACTTGTTCTTTTTTTCCAAATCTCGACAAAAATGACTAAGAAATTTGTACCAACAAAAACATATTTTTTAAGAAGTAAAACCAAACCTACACAGAAAGAACAGGATGAAAAAGAAAAGGTAAAAGTAGACACTGAAAAAAGAGGCAAAAAAAGAAAGCGGCATGCTGAGGAGACGATTGAAGGTGAAGTTGAGGAGACGATCGAAAGACACCCGTTCCAACATCTACTCATTCCTATTACCGAAGAACACATTATCAGAACTCCTATTACCTTAGCAGAAACTAAATTAATCTACGCGACGCCAGAGAGATTACATTCTGAGGACCAGGACCAGGTTCAGTTACCTGCTAGTAACTCAAACGAATTTAACTATGAAACGCCAAAGAGGAGACGACGTTCAAATGACCAGTTACATAGTCCCAGTACACCAACAACTCCCATGACCCCAATAAATTCTTTCATTCAACAAGATATTACCAGTTCACCTAGTCCACTCTATATTACACCTGAAAGTATACGAACTGTTGATTTAATTAATTTAATTAAGAAACCTTTAGATCCATCATCCGAAGTGATTAAACAAATGAAATTGATTTTCCGATTATCGACCCTTGCTACGAAGCTCATTGGCCGTGACAAGGAGCGCGAGGAGATTAAGAATTTTCTTAGAAACAACATAATCGAAAAAACAACAGACAGTTTATTAGTGGCTGGTATTCCTGGTACTGGGAAAACAGCACTGGTCAATGAGGTTTGGAATAACATGAAAGATACAATCGCCAAAGAAGCTGCTTGTTCTATCAATTTTATTATGATAAATTGTATGAACATGGGAGATCCAAAAAAGATTTTCGAAAACCTTCTGAATAATTTGGATCACAATGTCATTTCAAATAAGGCGGAAGAAATTTTAGCGAACAAATTTTTGAAATCTAAAAAGAAAAAGAATATTATGCAGTAAATAATCATTTTTTCCTACCGTTTTTAGATATTGTTATGTTAAAATTATAATTAAATTAAATAATTTTATGTTATTCTTAATTCAGCGTTATCGTATTAGATGAAATAAATATGCTTGAAACATATCATCAACGAAAATTATTTGGATGGACTAATATTCAAAATTCAAATTTAATTTTAATTGGAATAACTAATCGCCCACAAAATAATAATAGTTTGTATTATAGATTTAAATTAATTAATTTTCAACTTAATATTTTATGAACTAATATTAAAAAATTTTTTAATAGGTTTTACAAAAAGTTTGTATTTTACGCCGTATAGTGCGTCCGAACTAATAGATATTATTAAAGATCGCCTTGTCGTCGCGCAAAATAGCACTTTTACTGCGTCATCGCAGGATTTGAATACATCATTAATACAAGATAAAGCAATTGAACTGTGTGCAAAAAGAATTGCTGCAAGCAATGGAGATTGTAGAAAAGCTTTAGAAGTTTTTAGACAAGCGATGGAATTAGTAGAAATGGAAAGAGAAGATAGTAAATCACTTAGAGATACAAGTTCTCCGATCGTTACAATTCAACATATTAACCAAATTACTAATACAGAAATTACTGGAAAATCTACAATAAAAAGATTAAAAGAATTGACGGTTCATCAGTTACTTATAATCTGTACTTGCGTAATCATGAACAAAAAGAAAATTAATAAGATTACATATGCGGAGGTAAATTTAAATTAAATTAAACTCTCTGGTTTTGTCTTTCATTTCTAAATATTATTCTTTTTTTTTTTGGATTACAGCTACGTTCGGAATATCAAAAACTCTGCCGTAAAGGTAACATCATCACTCCAATTAGCTCAAGCGAATTTCATGTCTTAATACAAAGACTGGAATTTGCAACCTTTTTACAATGTAATCGTGCGAAAGTTGCAGCGAACCGCAAAATTAAATTGTTAGTTGAAGAAGAAGATTTTATGGCAATAACGAAAGATCACCCGATTTTGAATCTTATTGATTTTGAAAAATTCACGCTAGAAGAGAGCTAGAAGAGAGCTGACAAATTCTATAGTGACGAATGAATTATTAATCATTTTATATATATATATAAATGTATAAAAATTGGTAGTTATTTTTTTCTTTTAGAAGTTTTAAATCAGTGAATGGTTGTCGATCTGTATTTTTATAAAATTAAATTTTCATTTAAAAACTTGAATTTAAACTGTCATTTTGACTGTATCCGTAATACGTCATTTGAATATTAGACTGATTTCTTGAAAACAACCAAGCATCCAAATGAATTAGAACTAGATATTTCTTCTATAATTATGGCAATGAATTATGTGAAGAAATGTTTGAAATTAGCCAAAATAGATACAAATCACATGGAAAATTATATACGTGTTGCCCAAATCCCAAATTTGGGATTTGGGATTTTGGCAAAAAATAATTATAATTTGAAATTTGAATTCGGGTAGCAGGTAAGGATAAGAATTGAGTCTGGACTCACAATTAATCACAAGTCAACTATGGAATTGAGTCTCAATATTAGTGAGTCCAAAATCGCGATTATAATCGTGAGTCCAAAATCATAATTATACGAAAATAATTATTAATCGTTGCTATGTATAAAATTTTTTATTTATATAAGTTAATATTGAAACGTAACTAAGTAATATCAAAGACAAGAATGAATTGCATACTCTATAAAAACAGCAGACCTATTTCATTAAATTGAGAGAACAATTGGCATTTAAAGTTAGAATGGTTAAAAAAAATTAAAATGACTAATGATATATGTCTGTTCTTTTTATATAATATAACAATTAATTTTTATATTTAGACATTTACTAATAAAATCAAAAGAGAACGATCAACAATTTTTATATATTATGTTACACAATATGAATTATAACTTTATTAATATACACTCCCGGAATTTAGCCATTGAGCCAAAATTTAGCCAGAACAAAATCAATTAGCCAGAGGCGCAATCATTGAGTCATCCTTACCCAAACCCACCCCCTATTAAGGGATAATATGACAGGTGATCAAAAAATAGATCACGTGAATTTATGAAGGAATGTTAGGTGACAAATATATTTAATTAAAATCAATATTGAATATCCTACCCTGACAAGCCCTACACGTGGGGTGAAAATCTGTTGGTGATACTGGGATAGATTAGACTCCGGTGTCTAGGTTAAGATTTCCCAAAAAAATAACCATACCTTTGAGCTTTAGACGATCCCATCCATGTTATGGATTAGACAGCAAAATTAGTCCGTGTAACCATATAAAATGCACTCGTTAAAATCACGTGGAGTTAAAAGCCCACCTGCAAATTCAACATTTATATATCACGATAAAAATAGCATTTTCAACAAAAACTTGAATGAACAAATATAAATAATTTATAAATAATAAATTAAATAATGGAACATTACGATAAAATACGAGTTGTCGTTGTTGGTGATTCTGGTGTGGTAACTACAAATTTTTTAAGTTTATTCTTTTAAATGATATTTGTTAATTATTATAATAATTATTATTATAATTAATAATCATATTATAATTATTATTATAATAATCACATTATAATTATTATTATGATCCTATATTTCGTTTTTTATTATATTATTATTTAGGGAAAAACTAGTCTTGTACACATACTTTGTCATAATGAAGCATTACGAAATCCAACATGGACAATAGGCTGTTCTGTAGACGTTAAGGTATGTATGGAATTTTTAAGCAATTGCACTTTATTTATGTAGATATATTATTTTTATAATTTTTAAAATAAATCGATTCAAACAAAAGTAGTCAATTAATTCAATTAATTAAGGATGTAATAATAATGAATTCAAAATTAGATTCATACCCATTCACGAAGTCAGAAATCATATTTTGTGGAATTTATTGATGTCGGAGGATCCTCAAAGCATAAATCTGTTCGTAATATGTTTTATCAACAAATTAATGGAATAATATTAGTCCACGATGTTAGTAATAGAAAATCATATTATAATTTATGGAGATGGATTGCGGAGATCATACATTCGGATGCTTACAAAGAAAGTGAAAGATTAAATAATGGTATAATAAATTGGGGTAATAATAATAATAATTATAATAATAATAATAACAATAGTAATAATAATAGTAATAGTAATAATAATAATAATAATAATAATAATAATAATAATAATAATAATAATAATAATAATAATAATAATAATA